CTAAAGGAGATAAGTTAGGGAGCATTGAGGCTCCTTTCCTTCCATAAAGGATGGTCTGATGTTTCCTCTGCTAAAGGAGATAAGTTAGGGAGCATTGAGGCTTCATTCCTCAACAGTAGTTTTCCTCTTGTTGAGAGTTAAGAGCAGAGGATGTCACACCTTGTTATAGTCCTATGAGACAAACTGTGAATGATTGATAAAGGTTATACAAATTAAATTTGATTGATAGATTGATTCAGAGAATGGAACTGATGTTATTATGAAACACTTCAGGTCATTTCACTCAGTTCAGAAGGTTCCTTAGTGAAATGGATTATTTAAATGCCCCGAGTGAATCCGTAAAGTCCTCCCACAGCATCTTGGGAACTTTCAAAGTTTCTCCACTGAAGAGGTGAGAAATAAGACCTCTTCACTTTTGTACGGCCCCGCCCCCTGCAGGCGTCCAATCCCTACCTGTCGACGAGGAGCGGCTCTACGGTGACATCAGGAGGTCGTTTCCGCTGCCCATCCTGTCGCCATGAGGTGGTCCTGGACCGACACGGTGTTTATGGACTGCAGAGGAACCTGCTGGTGGAGAATATCATCGACATGTACAAACAGGGCAGCAGCAGGTAACACCCACCTGGACACAGCTGATACTAGAAAACAAGGTTCAACAACAACAACAATCATAATAATAATAATCATGACAACAATCACAATGATAATGGTAACTGAAGTCTTCTGGAAGCTGGTGAAAGGAGAACTCAGGCAGCAGCTGATGTCTTATGCAACAGATTTGAATGTAGACTTGATGCATCAAAGAGATCAAAAGGTGGAACAATATACAAACGCTAACACAGTAACATGAGTTACCCCCCCCAAGTCTGAAGCTGTCTCCCATCATCCCCATGTATCTTCCTCTTTCTCCCTCACCCATTCTAAGAGCTCATCCATGATGAATGGCTAGAATTGCTGTCACTCTCTATGCAACATGTAGGTGTTCACATCCTATTGATCCTTAATGGTGTACAGATATAATGTGATATACACTATATATATACATAATAGAGCATATAGTGGCATATACAGTAATGTGTGAGGATATACAAAAATTCCCCAACAACAACAACAATCATAATATTATAATCCCTCTCTCTCTCTCTCAGTAAACCATCCTCTGTGGAGAAGGTCGATCAGCCAATGTGTGTTGACCATGAGAATGAAAGAATAAACATTTACTGTGTGAGCTGCAGCGCCCCCACCTGTTCACTGTGTAAAGTGTTCGGAGCACACAAAGAGTGTGAGGTGGCTCCACTTGACACCGTCTTCACTGCACAAAAGGTCCTTGCACACACAACTACACAACTACTGCTACGCTTGCTCTGTTTGTCAGATGACCTTCAGTCATGGTGGGATGTTAGATTCATGTACACTTGTACTCCTGTATAACACAACTTCTTATTCATCCACAGAGTGTTAAACATAAGTGTGTGTGTGTGTGTGTGTAGATGGAGTTGACTGACTGTATCTCCATGCTTGTTGGGAACAACGAGAGGATTCAGGCGATCATCGGTCACCTGGAGGAAACCTGCAGAGCTGTTAATGTGAGATCATCCACTTCACCTGACGTTCACATCTGTTTCACATCTGTTTCACCTGAGGTTCACATCTTTTGTGTTCTCAGGAGAACGGCAGCAGACAGAAGTCGAAGGTGTGTGAAACATTTGATCACCTGTTCGCTCTCCTGGAGGAGAAGAAAGGTGAGATGACGCTGAGGATCAGCTCTGAACAGGAAGAGAGACTCGACAACATCCGAGGTCTCAGGAGGAAGTACAGCGAGCACATGGACGCTGCCGCCAAGCTGCTGGAGAACGTCATCCAGACGCTGGACGAGTCTGAGATGGCCGTGTTCCTGCAGGTGTGATTCTCTGCGTCAAGCGTTTGAAGCTTGAAGGAGAAAACACGATTGATGAGTGACATCATTTTGTTTCATGTGATTATTAACTCTGATTTGTGTCCCACAGACGTCCAAACCTGTGCTGCAGAAGTGAGTATTCAACATGTTTGGTTTGTAATCATCTCACTGCATCATTGATTATTTGCTGTTTATTGATTGTGGAGGTGAGGGGGCTGGGAGAGCATCTTCACCTGGACCAGAGGATCAATCAGTGCAGGTGAGAGCTGATTGATCCTCAGGTTTAAAAGACAGCGGCTGAGCTGCCTCACAGAGACACAAGGACTGAGATGCACAGATAGAGACACACGTGAGCAAAGCTCACAGAGATGGAGCTGAGAAGTTGCATGTTTTGAGTGGAATGATCAATGAAGATGCTGCAAAGCAACACATTTGTCTCTGGCTGTGTGTGGGAGAGCCCTGTGGCGAGCTCAATTGCCACATTGATTCTTTGCTGTTTATTGATCAGGATCATGGAGGGAACCAACACGTCTCACCTGGATAAACTCCAACACGGATACGACAACATGGAAAACTTCACGGCTAACTTTAAACGTCAGAGACAAGCGCTGAGCAACATCAACTTCATCGGAGGTTACAGACGTCCGTGGGTGTGGGCGTGTTAGCCTATTAGCTGTTGGCTACATTTAATGACCTGTCATGAGATGAGTGATTAGCTTTGAGATAACAGAATCAAGTGCTAATGTCTTAAAATGGGATATGCTACTGCTGCAGCTGCTGCATGGAAATGCACTATGTTCAAATGCTAACACAATAGCATGCCACCAAAATTAAGCTACGTGCGGCTGCTAGTCAGAAAAGGATATTGTAATGGGTTAGCATGCTGAAGGGATGATGTATTGAGATGAAGCAGCATGGTAGATGCTACAGCGTTAGCATGTCAGTCTATGAACATGGAGCTAATGTGTTAGCATGTAGCTAACCTTGAATTTCCTCTCAGCTGATGAGGATGATGAAGATGAGGTCAGATTGACGTCAGCAGGAGGTCCAGCTGAGTCGCAGCCACATGTTGCACCTGCAGCAGCTTCAGCCAACCAGCGGCCTCCTCTTTCACCTGCACAGCCCTCAGACCCCGCCCCTCAGAGACCCTCAGAGACCACACCCACAAGCACGTCACATACCATAAACCCCACCACTTCGTCTTCCAGTCATGCCACGCCCCCGCTGAGCCCGCCCAGTGCCAGCCCCACCCCCAAGGTAGGATCATGATCGCTCTAATCTTATTGTCTAATAAAAATTAAAACATATTAAAATCTAATTCATATAAGAGAACAGATCTTAAAGGGATAGTTCAATGAAAACACCACTATGATGGGGGGGGGGTAGTCTCAGGGGTAAACAGAGTCTCAGAATTACTCAAGTAACTTGAGACAGAGTGTTCAGACTGTGATGTCATCAAGTGTCCACAAGTCCCGACATTCTAATTCAACTGGAAACGACGTCACCAAGTTTTTTTGTGAGAAACTTCCAGATGAAATGTCTGGACGTGTGGACACTTGATGACATCACAGGAGTAGGACGGAGCAATGTTGTCTTTTTCTGTTTGTTACAAATGAAGAATCCGTCTCCAGGTACTGATTTGGCTGCGACTCTGTTTACCCCTGAAACTTTTCATTTTTGGGTGATACTATCCCTTTAAGAAACATAAGAACATGTTAACATAACGTGTAAAAGAAAAGGAAATACATAAGACAAAGATTTTCTTTACGCTGTTGTTGGGAACCTCTGACAGATTTGCTGCAGATGTTCTCAGGGTTCTAGAGGGAACATAGTTCACTAGAGAGGCAGCTGTGTAACTGGGTCCATTCACAACCTTGTATGTGAGGAGGAGAACCTGACAGTCGATCCTGTGTGGAACCACCAGAGCAGAGCAGCTAGAGCTAATGTGTTCGCTCCTCTTGGTTCACGAGCTGCAGAGTTCTGACTCGGCTGGAGTCTCTCTGGTGTTTTCTATGGGACAACTGTAAAAAGTGCTTTGATCCAGTCCAATAGAAATGGAGGCATGAAGCTGCTTTGGTCTGAATCATGATTTATAATTGATTCTTGATTGATCGCTGCTGCAGGTTCAATCTGATCAGAACGAGTCGGACGACAGAGACGGCCAGAGACACGTGTTCTCCTTCAGCTGGCTCAACCAGAAGTAAAACACATCACGTGTTCACATCACGTGTTCACATCACATGTTCATATCACGTGTTCACATTATGTCAAATTCTTTCAAATAAAGGATTTTCACAGTCTGTTTTTCTCTGACGTCAGTTTGACTTTCTTTGTTGAGTGATGGTTCCAAACAAGGTTTATGGAATCTGTTGTATATTTACATATATTCTCATATTCACAAATCACAGTTTGTCTCATTGATCTAAACGAGAGAAAAACTAACAAATACAAACTTTTTACAGAAAAATAAATGTATATTCAGAGGTGACATCACTTCCTGTGAAGTGTCACATCAACAAAATATAATATTTCCAACATGGATGAGAAAAGACAGAGTGTAACCTGAATGAAGAGATGAATCAACAGTGTGTCCTTCACCTACAGTCTGCGAGGTGTGTCCTCTACCTACAGTCTGCGAAGTGTGTCCTTCACCTACAGTCTGCGAAGTGTGTCCTTCAC